TAAAAAAAAAAGTTTACTGTTATTTAGTTTGGTTCAAAACCTACAAAATCTTCATTGCTTTTAGTGTAATTTATTTTTTTATTATTTAGGGAACATTATAAATAGTTATGTTTTTAAGAAAAAAAAACTACTATTGTTATGAATAACACATTCAATTGAACTAAACTATGCATGCCTATTTAAATATATTTACACATGTCTTGTGTATATCGTATATATATACATATATATTATTCATACCTTCGGTGTACAGGACGCAAGCAGATTTTGACATCAAATTTTGAGGTAAAAAAGTGCGTCTTATACACCGAAAAATACGGTACGTTAATTTCATATGTCGATTTCATTTTAGCCTTACACTGACCTGTATGAGTCCTCTTTAAAAGATAAGGCAAAGCATGACGTTTTATAAAACCCGCTAGGTCTCAGAGGAGGGTGGCACGTGTGGCCCTTAAATTCGATTCAACTCGTACCTCGGTTGGTTTTACATATACCAAATCTCGTTAGATAAAGCTTTAATGGAAATATAAGGTCCTTAAAAATTAATGATTATCTATCGTATATTCCACTACATAAATATTTTTCCTCTATCAGAGCCAACTTTATAATATCTGCCGGGATATATCATACACACAACATATCTGCATTTAAGACCAATATAAGAATATCAAAATACTTCAGTAGTTATCTTTAATCGGCGAGACCCTTCGTCGGCACGGTGAACGTGCTGTCCTTCGTTTCGATACTACGCAGCTTTTGAACAAACTTTGTGAAAGTGGCCGCGTATTTGTATGTTTAAAAACTTAACTTTTTAGTGAAGCAGTATTTCATATAAAGAACATTCACAACATATAAAAAAATTGATTTTTTTTTTCTTTCGTGAATCATCGCCCATGTTTGAATAATGGCAAGCTCAAGTTATTGCAACTTTTAAGTATATGTTACACTTATAAAGAGAATATGATCATATGTGGAAACGACATGCTACAGAAGGAGATTATGGATTTTTAAAGAGCTTCGTAAGTCCCATCTCATAAACCAACTGCAAACGAATCATAATATATTTAAAGAAAATTAACATATCCCCGCCTAAAGACATAAAAAAATGCCTGGAAAACAAAAGTCGCCCAAGAAAAGTATTAGTCCTATAAAGCGAGTTCCTTAGTTGTGTATTCATTTGGCCAAACGTACATATAAAATTTCAGTGTTAACAATGTACATTTAACGTTTTATCTAGTTGGTATTTCATTAAAACGTACGGAAGGTATATAAGATTAAACAACCTATAGCGACAGTATTTTTATGTCATTTTTTCTAGCTTGTTTTATAACGCCTCGCAATGATGCTTCAATTGTGTTTTGTATACTAATCCATTATTTCTACAAAAACGTTACCACCACTTTCCTGCCTTCTTCCCACATAGCTTTTTATTATTTTCCAAGCTTTATTACCGTTACAGTTGTGCCACTTTTCTAACTTTCGATCGACTCTGTGATGATACTACATTTGGTCAAGTATTGAAAACAAAATAAAATTAGAGCCAATGTATACCTTATCTAAATTCGTGTCTTTCTAAGTGGATAAAAATTGGCACTATAACGAATCGAATCGGGTTTGACCGATTATTTCGACAATAAAATATAGAAAAAGAAACCGTCAATTACCAAAATTAGTTTCTTTTTAACAAATGAATATTATAGGTAATAATTATTAGTTGGTGTATCTATGAGGACTTCTTAAAATCCTCAATAATACTTACTGCCAGTTTTTCTCACAAATGAGTGATAACATTTATATACCTAGTAACTTAGGCAAACACAAGAATCATCGTCACTTCCTATATCATAGTAGAAAAACCCCTTCAAATCTTCACCGACTACTTTAGATTTCATCCCGGATTCATCGCTCACTCAGCGCCGCAGGATTCTGCAACATCCGCGTAACTGGCGCGATTACCTTGTTATCAAATCTGCGCGAATTTCAAAATACTAGATATGCTCTTGAAAATGTTTATTGGTCACTCTGACTTTTATTTTTTGTATTAAAAAGACTGAAGACTCTATGATATATAAAACTATACGGACATTTATAAACAGAAATTAATTTTATACAATTATTCAACAAAAAAATAAATTATAATTTTCTTATACTTTTAGAATTATCCATTTTAATTAAAATATGGAGCAAAAAGAATATCTAGTTAAGTTTTAAAAATAAATTCTAATGGTTTTTTTTATTTTGTACCAAATAGTTAAAAATAAAGAATGTAAAAGGCTTACCTGAAATCCCAATAGGTCAAATTTTTTCCAGTACTGCACCAGAGAATGTACATTCGCAGCCATCTTTGCCCACGACGAATGACAACTAATTGTCCACGTGACAGTGGATCTTCTAATATAATCTCCAACCCGTGTTTTCAACCAACAGCACTAAAATGCCTGACGTCACTCCATACCGAAGCGATTGCGCCCTGTTTTTGTTTGATTGCTAAAGCGCCTTCTCTAATTTTCATACTAAGCGCTTGACATGGAGTTGGCCGCCAATAGCAAGGCGCTAGCATACATTCGACAAACAGCGTGGTAGCGTTAGCGTGACCAGCAGTACTTCACTTCTTACATCAAGAATTTTATTGCGGAGAAGCTAAAAACCTTCACTGATGAAACGTCAGTGAGTTGGAGTGAAAACACTTTATTTGTGCTCACGATTTACGTGTGAGTTTTTGGTTTATTTAAGCTATCGGTAATCACTGTTTAAAATAGATAGTGATAAACTAAGGGACGATGTCATGATTTAGGAGTAAAGTACGGATTTAGGCTTAGTGCTAATGCTAAACCAGAAATTACCTTAGCCACTATAGTACTTTTCAGTTTGATTAGAACTTTCTGTGAGGGTTAGATTTTTCAAGTTTAAAGATAATATTGATGCCTTTTTATTTTGTGTTTTACATGATTAATGTAATGTTCAACAAAGGTAACGTTCAAAATGTAGACGGTTTGCGTAATGCTGTAATTGCAACTGCATTGTTTTCATACTCCCTACAAATGTTGAAATTCGATGGCAAGGAACCCACTTTGAGACTAATAATGGTTGGAGACGGCTTGAATGGGTAATGAAGAAAAACTTTAATATAAGTTTAACATAACAGCAAATCTACAACGTTTCGACGAGGTTTTGTCATGATGCTGTTATG